AAGAAGAAGAAGAAGAAGAAGAAGAAGAAGAAGAAGAAGAAGAGAAAGAAAGAAAGAAAGAAAGAAAGAAAGAAAGAAAGAAAGATCTTTCTAACTGTCAGGGAAGCCCTTATTCTACTGAGCCATCTTCCTGGCCCCTCTAATTGAAAGATACATATTGTTATATAAATCATGCAGTCCAGAATACTACTCCAAAGTTAGACCAAATATTCTATTAGGTATTTCTCTTTAACATCGTTGTTTGACTTTTCACAACAAACTAGAGAATGAATTTACCAGATAATACAAAATAGCAAACAGATATCTAGCAAAATTATTCCATTACTGATTCTAGTTACACTTCTATTTCACTAAGAAACAGACAACTGAGGTTTTCATGTCTGTTGTCTATGGAGCCATCTAGATTCAACAGTTAGATATTAAGTAAATAAAAACAATTTGGATGAAAAAAAAAAACAAACTCAACATAGAGCCCAATCAATCCAGCATGAGAAAACAAAAAAATTCATGATCTAGCACACAAATCAAAGATTTGCTCAAACTTGAGGATTATAAAAAACCCAAAAGGTTTTCTCGTTCCATTATTTATCTAATAGGTTGTGATATTCTGTAATATCACTGAGAAGTTAACTTTTATAAATAAGCACAACTCAGGCTAAGGGGAATGTCCTAGATATCCTGAAGTGACTTGTTCTAGCTTGGAGGGTTTTAGCAATGACATTCAGAAAAAATTTCTATAGGATGTGTATGTATTAGTCACATTTTTTTTTCTACAAAAGATGATACAATATTTGAAGAAAACTGATTTCTGTTTTCTAAGTTTCTCTTCTTTAACATTTAAAGGGCCACGGAGATAGCTCAGTAGAGTAAGTGCTTGCCTGGCAATTGCAAGGGCCTGAGTTCAATTCCCAGTTCTGCAAAAAGAAAAACAAAAAAACCCCAACTTTTTCTATGTTCTCTAGTTTCTAACATGTTGTGTGCACAGTCATGTGCACATATGTGTGTGTGCACACGTGCACACGTAGCTGGGATTGCTGGTGAGTGCTATACTACTGAGCTACATCATTAGCATCAGTATGTAAGATTTTTTTTTTAATGTAAGATTTTTAAAATATAAAAATACCAAGTCCAATTTGCCCGCTCAATAAGTACTTAGCATCTACCATTTCTCCTGACTAATATAGGAGCAGAATAGCACTTACACACAGTAGTGTCTTACCTTCTCTATATCCAGAACTTTATCTTGCATCTCTTTTAGTGCACACTGAGACTCAGCTTCACTCAGTCGGGCTTGAACCAATTCCTTCTCTAGCTGTAGCACGAAATCTTCGTTGTAATTGGAACTGCATTTATGCTAAAGGTTGTAAACATATGCTGAAATTTCATGGAAGCATCAACATGTACATAAAGTAAAAATAATTCAACGATATAATTCAAGCATTAAGGACAACTACAAAGTAAAAAATTCTGTCTATGTAATATCCCCTGCATAGTTCCTCTAAATAACTTCCCAGTGAGGAAAAAAAAAATCCCAGTTCAAGTATCTTTAAAAGTGACTACATTGGGGCTGGGGAGATGGCTCAGTGGAATAAGCGCTTCCTTGGCAAGTGCAAGGGCCTGAGTTCAATCCCCGGTTCCGCAAAAGTGACTACATTATTGAGTTATGGTAACTAGTTATTAAACTCTTCAAATTCAATTCATATAAAATAACTATCTACCTTTATCTCAACAGTGTCATCCATCCAGACACTAAAAATCTGTTCTGACTCTGCAGACCTGCCTTGCCCAATAGGAGTCATTACCCACATATTGATACTGAGTAATTGGGATGTAGCTAATTTGAATTGAGGCAGACTGTAAGTCTAAAATAAGACATAAAGTGGGCCTGAACACATGGCTGAAGGTAAAGCACCTGTTTGGCAAGTGCAAAGCCCTGGGTTCAGTCCCTACCACAATACCACTAACACAAAAGAATTCAATGATTCATAAATTCATTGTATGTTAAAATAGTATTCTTAATATACTGAAGTAAACAATATTAATTTGACTTGCTTTTACTTCTTTTAATGTGACTAAAAAAATTTAAGCTGCCTCTGTAGCACATACTATATTGCTAATGGACAGCACTGTTAAGAAATTTCACAAGCTATGCACACATTTGCTGAAAATTCTATTTTACTCTAATACCAATAAAAATAAGCGATAAACAATATGAACCACCTTAAGTGCCCAAAGAAGAACAAAACTGTACTATTTGTCTTAGAAATGCAGATTTCTTTAAAAGATACACATGTAAATGATTACTGGAAGCAGAGAAAAAGCAGATGCTGTGCAGAGAAATTAATCATAGAAGCATAAATAACTGGGGTTGATGCCCGGCCTGCTGTGCCAATCCTGCCCCTGGGGCGTGCTGAGAGGGCTACTGAGACTGGGCCTGGTGGCGTGCGCCTGTGATCCCAGCGTTTGGGATGCTGAAAACAGGAGAATCACTACGAGTCCAATCTATGCAGTGAGACCTTGTAGACCCTGTACTAAAATACATTTAAAAAAATACAATGGAAAAAAATTTTTTTGATGAAGCTGGAAGTATTTTGCTTCTGTTACTTTTGGTGTTGAAGGATCCACATCTACGTCAACTGTCATCTGAAACCATTAAGATTTATCTCTAAGAGTTATTCTAAGGGTTTTTGGGGTTTGAACCACATAATATATGCCTATGCAACTTGGGCCTTGAGTTAAATGCCAGCCTGACCAACTTAGTGAGATTCTGGTCTTAAAAAACAAGTGACAACAAATGACCAAGAAATGTTATATGCATGTTTGTGTCTGCATAAGCAGATGATTTTAAAACTACAAAACCTATATTTTATGATATTAGAATATTGATCAATTTTAAGATTTTATTTATAGGGTGTTTCATGGTCCAATTCCATCATTCTGCATAAGACTACCCAGTATTGCCAGCACCACTGTTGAAGAGAGTATCCTTTCCCTCACTAATTGTCTGGCAGTCTTGGGAAAATCAACTAGCCACTGAGTTTATTTCTAGAATTACAATTCAATTCCATTAATGTATGTATCTATCCATCCTTATGTCAGTAACACAACATTTTGATTACTTTAACTTTGTACTAAATTTTGAAATCAGGAGATGTGAGTGCCCTAGTTTTATTCTTCTTTTTCAAAACTGTGTGGATTAGTGAAAGCTGCTGTGGTGGCACACGCCTGTAATCCCAGTGTTCAGAAGGCTACAGCAGGATTGCTGTGAGTTCAAGGCCAGTGTGGGCTACACAGTGAGGCCCTGCCTCAAAAACAAACAAAAAACAAAACTACTTTCAAGTCCATGCTAATTTTTTATTTTTGAAAAAAAAAATATGGATATTATGATAGGGTTGAGTCTTAACTTTTCTCATTGCTAAGACAAAATACCTGACATCCAAAGTTACAGGATGAAAGGTTTATTTAGCTCACAATTTGTAAAAATTTCAGTCTATAATTGGCTGGCTCCAACACAGGGTGGCACATGGCAGAGGGGCAGCCATTCATGGTGGTGGAAAACAACAAAAGCAACAGGGGAGGGAGAGACCAGCCTCTTTCCGTTCCCTATGTTGTTTACAGTCTAAGATTAGGGTAGTGCTAATCCAATCAGTGGACTGATCGAGCAATCACCCAATCTTAATCCCAGCACCCTTAATCCTAGCAATAAACCAGATATCAATCACAAGCTCTAGATCCAGCCGCCTCTGGAAGAGCCTAATCTATAACTGCATGAGATTTTAAAATGTCTAGACACAAGCCATAACAAATGTCATCAGATTTAAGGGTAAAAGCAAAAATCATTTTTTACTCATTTTTCTTTTTTTTTTAATTTTTAATTTATTTATCTATGTGTGTGTGTGTGTGTGTGTGTGTGTGTGTG